GTAATAGGAGCATTTATTGCCTTTCATATCCGAACCTTACCGCATTGAATGCGGTCTCGTCAACAGAAGGGTGCAATTAATTGTTTGCTTTCCCAAGTCGCGTGTCAGCAGCGGCATGCGGTTTGTCTGCTTCGGATGTGACATTATTTGCCACGCGTCCATCCCTTATTGGCTGTTACGCCGGTATTCCAGCACGTTCTGACATTACTTGTGTAAGAGGAGGTCATGATGAATAATCCATACTGGCATAGGCTGATGTCCAGTATGTCAGCAGCTTTATCCGGGAGTAGAGGAAGCGTCCAGGATGGAGTGACCCTCGGCGCCGAGGAAAGGCTCACCTCGGGGACCAAGGGTGTGTGTCCCCGAGGTACACGTCTGACCGAGGACACGTGTTTGTTTTTGTATAATATACCGAATGTGTGATCCTATGAGAGGTACCTCGGGGGTAAAGGGCGCTCTTCGCCGATGGTGCTTACATCCGGGCAACACTGTTCCAAAATATCCCGAGGGCACGTGTCATCATCTTAGGGCTTCTCAGAAGAGTCCCATCACATAGGATCCCCTCCTACTGAATCAGTGGACACGTCTACAGCAGCATAACATGTAAGAAGCTATCGATCTCTTAAAGTTGTTCCCACCATCCTATTCAGATTCCACAGCTTAACCATGGACCACTGAACCAGAAGCATACATAGATTTACGCCACTATATGCATGAATGTAGCAGAACTACTGAATGGTTTAATTTGGTTCCCCTACCCTAGGGACATTTCCAGGAATTGCAAATTCTTCTGCAATGCAGTGACACTAACAAACGGAAACCGCTGCAGCAAATTTCCACTGATTTCCCTAGCTTCTTTTCACCATTTTCTTATCAATGACAAATTTTGGAGGTAATAAAAGCAACAATGGTGGACTTGACCATGTGGTTCTCATCAAAGCAGAAAGAAGCACAATAGACTGCCTCAAATTCATCAACAAAAAAATAACCATTGTAAATGGCATCATAAACATACCCCTTCCCCTTCTCTCACTCCCCCTCCCAAAAAAATAAATAAATAAATAAATAAATAAAAATAAATAATAAAAATAAAAATATTACTGAAATTAGCAGTAGCTTATGCGCAAAAACACAGTTAACGAACTTATCAATCAACAGCATACATCAAGGGCAAAAAATGGCCAAACACGACAACCAATTCAAAATTTTCGGGACACTTCTTTCTCCTTTCGAACAAACATCATGTAACTAAAACCTCCAACATATTGAGACTCCGTCACAAAACAAATTGCCCAATCTAATTATATGCTTACAAATTCAACATTTAGAAAATAAAACCTCCAATTGCTGAGTTTGGATAATCAATTGATGATCAAGTGCACAAAAATCATAAGGCAGTAAATTTTGGGTCTTGATAATCCTACCTGGACTGGGAGTTTGCTATGCTGGCCGTTTCATTTTCTTGAGTTGAGCTTCCATAAACATATTCATCCATCGACCCTCAAGCTTCCATGAACTTTATTCTCTGCTTCTCCAATTAATCATCTGCTGCGGCATTGAACCGTCAATCCGATAATATATCTAGCTTATTTCTTTAATGATTTGTTCTTGTTCTCATATCAAGCTGCATTTCTTGTCTCCACATCTCGTGCATTTTTGAACAGGCCTCTCAGTTTGAGGTGTGTCTACCAAGGGGTATAATGGTCCCATCATCGACTAAATCTAAGGATTCAATTCCTGAACCACTTATTCATTGAAGATAATTGTACTCTGCAATGTTCCTCTTTTTTTCTAGAAAAAAAAAAATCTTTTCATCTCTCTTATTAGAAAATTCATGACCAAAACTTATAACAACCAGATATTCAGCAGCTTCATCACAAAATTTCAACAAACAACAAGAAGAATTTAAAAAAAAATGTTTTGGTTTCCTAAACCTCAACCTATGATGTTAATAATTAGGCAACAATAAAAGATGAACTCAATAAAAATCAAACCAACAAGATGGTAGTTAATTATTCATATGTAAGTCATAAAAATCCTTCAATCTGTAGCCCATTGCCAGCCCCATTTTTCTCATCTCCTCCAATACAAACTTAGCATCATCAAACCTTCTCAAATTAATCAATCGATTAGCCAAAAGCCCAAAATTCTCTGTATCTAACCCCTTATCCCTCCCACCATAGCTCATCACAAGCTCCACCGCCTGCGCATAATGACCCAACTTCAGCAGACTCCCAATAACGTGTGCATGAGTGGAATACAACGCCGGCACTCCATCAATCACCATTCTCCTCAGCACCACCAATGCCCCCTCCACCTTGTCCGCCCTACACGCTCCCAGAACCAGCGCGTCATACGTCCTCGTATCTGCCTCCATTCCCTCCTCCACCATTCTCGTCAGTACTCTGGCCGCTGACATCACGTCTCCGGCGAAACAATAAGCGGTCAGCAGATAATTATAAGCCGTCACATCAGGTGTAATCCCATTCTCTCTGATCAACTCCATCACGCGCCATGCTTCGTCCATTCTCTTTTGCCTCGTGAGGGCGTTGAGAATGGGATGAAACGTACACGCATTAGCGCCATAGTCATTCTTGACCATAATGTCCGCCAATCGCAGGGCTTCATCCGTTCTCTGCAACTTGGAGAGACGACCGACGAGAGAGTCGTGCGCGCTCTTCCTGGGAAACCCTCTATCGAGAAGAGAGAGGGATTGCAAAAGGTCGTCGAGTACGGACAGGTCGGTGGAGATGAACTTGAAGGTTTTGGTGGTGTTGAAACAACCGTCTCTTACGCGCTTGTTGAGGAGGTGGCGGACGGCGGCGAAGTCTCTTTCACGGCCGGCGGCATTGATGAGGTCGTCGTAGTCGGAGGAATTGGGTTGGTCTGGAAATGGGTGAGGACTTTGGGTGGTGAGGAAGCGAGAGGTATTGCAAAGAAGTGTGGCTGATTTGGGGGTTTTGTGGGTGAATTGACGAAAGATTAACATGGTTTAAGGTTTAGCAGAGTGAGTGAGTGAGGAGAGAGAAATGGTACAAGGTGTTGTTGATTTAGAGCTGTTTTATGGGCTTAGGCCCAATTTGAGTTTGTTTCTGAAATTAAGGTCGGTTTGCGTGGGCTATGGATTTGTATTGCTATACCATTTGTGAGGAATTGGTCTATCTTGTAGATTTATTTGGTGAAAAGTTTATTAATATAATTTATTTAATATTAAATTTACTTTAATCTTCACTGTCTAAAATACACTCATTAATTATATTTAATTACAACAAATTTGAAACTAACAACTATTAAATTTTAAAAGTTTGACTAATATTAAAATTCTTTCTCTCTCATATCTATCTATATCCATATATAAAATATGACTATTTATTTCTTTAATATTAAATCTCTCTCATATCTATCTATATCCATATATAGAATATGACTATTTATTTCTTTCTTCCCATATATATATAGTAATATTAAAAATAAAAAATGGTAACATTCAAACATAAAAAGTAGTACCACTTAAACACAAAAAATTAATAACTTTCAAAAATAAAAAATAATAACATTGAATATTAATATTTGAAAAAAATAACAGTAGTAATAAAATGGTCAACAAAAAAAGTAATATTGAATATTGATATTTCGAAAAATAGTAATATTCGATATTAATAGTAACATATTTCATACTCAACAAAAAATAGTAACATACATAACAAAAAAATAGTAACATAGAAAAGAATAGTAACATGTATAGAAATATTCAATATTAAATTAATCATAATCTTCTCAGCCAAAAAAAAAAAATGTGAGAGAGAAAGAAAGATAAATGGTAGTGATGTCAAATTTAAATTTTATGAAAAAAAATATTTCATTAAGTATTAATCAAGAATAACTGTTTAAGAAACTGATTTAATGTTGAGGATTATTTTTTAAGTCATCAGAAGGGCATTTTGGAGTTTTATAAAAATAATGAATTTAACTATTTATTAATAATATTAAAAATAGACTTACCNTCAGAAGGGCATTTTGGAGTTTTATAAAAATAATGAATTTAACTATTTATTAATAATATTAAAAATAGACTTACCCCCAAATAAATTTACTTGAGTGACTAAACTCGTTATAAGTCCTTAAGAAGAACTTCATCCCAATATTCACACAAAAATATGTCAATTTCGTCTTTTGGTCACCACTAAATTAACGGAATTGAGCAGCTACAACAGTGACTCAAATAAAAGGATAAAACTAAGATACCTAGACGAAATTTTGTAATAAAAACAATTCTTGGTTGTTTATTTTGATTTGAGATAATTACTATAAAATAAAAGAATACATAAATTTTTTTTACTTGTTATCTTGTGATTAGATACAAAATTATAGAAGAACAAAAAAAAATTAATTTTTAGTACAAAAGTCTAACCCATATCAACATATGTCCACTGAATCTAATCTAAAGAATTTAAGACTTTGAAGCTAATTTGGCAGCTTAACACTATCCCAAAAGTTAAGCATTTCTGGTGGAATGTGATTACTAACGCCCTGACTACCAAGAAAATCTATTTAGACGAAGATGTGTGACCTCCCCATTGTGCAAGATCTACAACACAGATATTGAGACTGTGGAACACCTTCTCTTTTCCTACGATCGGACCTATAGGGTGTGGTTTGATAGGGTGTGGAGTCCAAACAAGTTGTGGTAATTTTGAGCAAAGTGGCCTTCGTTGGGTGGACCATCTGGAAAATGAGGAATGAAGTCATCTTTCATCACCAGCCGCCAAATCCTTTGTATGCCATTAATAGGGTCATTATGGGGTGGAGAGACATGGGTTATCCAGGATCGTGCAGGTCTAGGAGCCAACCAAATTCGGACGTTCAGATTTCATCATAGGTCCCTCACTGGCTTCCCGCACCCCAAAATTTGGTCAAATTCAACTGTGACGGTGCATATAACCCAAGCAGGTCCATAGCTTTCAGCTGAAGTCGTGTGTAGGGATGCTGATGAGGTTCTCATTGATGGGGTTTCCTTAACATATTGCAGCCGTATCCAGTCTGTTTTCTGAAGCTACTGCAGCCCGTGAAGCATGCCTCATGGCTCTTTCTCTGAATCTTCATAGTGCTACAATTGAAAGTGACAATCAGTCCCTCATTTTGCTGTGCGCCGGAGAAGATGATCCCCTATGGAAAATAGCTGTCTTTATAGTAGATATCAAGTACGCTGCTACGGTATTAAATCTTAATTTCAAATACGGGCCTCGAGTCACCAATACGGTGGCTCACTGGGTGGCCAAGGCTAGACTTCTACATCCCTTACCTCACGACTGGGTGGTGAATCCTCCACTTGAGCGTAGGGACTTGCTTATTTTAGATTGTATTCAGTCTTTCGTTAGTTAAATGATATTTTCCTTTGTTGATCCAAAAAAAAAATAGAGGTCAACACACAGTGAGTATGGGGTAACCAGTTAGACATGTGATGTACATCCGTAAACTAAAACAACACACACAAGAATTGGCATAAAGACCGATTCCACAAGTTTCAATTCCGAATCCATTCACAGGCACCCATCTCAGAATCAATCCATAATAACAAGGATCTACGTGTATTCTAGCTAGCTTAAACAACTACCATGAAGTTACTATATTCGAACTAATGATCAATTCTGAGGATACTGCTTGAACTTCATGGATGTTACCTTGTCTCTAATTGTTTGTACAATTATCTCGAGTATGGAGTTGGGATCCGTGGACTGATTCTGGTGAAGTCTGTCGTCCTCCCCCCTCCATATAAAGTACATAGTGACAGAGAGACAGTTTTTGTAGCACTCATCGTAGGCCTTTTCCTTCCAGTTTAATGAAGCAAAGTTAATCAATTCATTCCATGAATTTAGACACGTGGGCTATTCACACATCTGCTTCAACTTCAAACAAATTCTTTGAGAGAAATGACTATCAAAAAACAGGTGTTGATGAGATTTAGTGCCTACCTACATAGGATCCATTCCCCCTAATGTTTATTGCAAAGACTTGCACCCTATCTTTGGTACTTAGTCTTTGCCTTACACCCAACCACAAAATGAAGCTCAAGTGGTAAGAAATACCAATCAATGAAGTCATATCCCTTATGTACCAAAAATAAAGAAGTCATATCCTTTCATAATATCCACCTTAATAGTGCAACTTGGGCTCCCCTTGCTTCTATCATAGTCTCTTAACAAACCTCGAGTAAGGAGAATGTTATCATCTATCTTTCTTCCTGGTATAAAAGTAGTCAAATTAGGGCTTACAATCTCTGGAAATAGAACCTTTATTCTGTTAGCATTAATCTTAGAATAGCTTTGTCGAAGAGGTTGCAACAAGATATGAACCTAAAGTCACTCATTGTAGATGGATTAGGGACTTTATTAGGCACGGGGGGTAATTATTGTGGAGTTAAGTTCCTCGACTAAGCATTTCAAATCCTTTATATTGTTGCACCTACCTGCCTTCTAATAATAGGCTATGCTTTTTTGAAAACGAAAGCATAGCATTATATCCATCTGGGCCTGGAGACTCCATATCATTAAAGGAGAATAAAACTATTTTTACCCTCTTCCTCTTCAATCTCTCTGATCATGAAGCTGGTTTGCTGATCTGTGATACATTTGATGTCAGCTAAATTCAGAAATTGCCTTCTTTCTAGTCTAGTAGTATTAATACTTTTTTTACCAAGAAGTCTGGTGAAATAATTGACAACTTCCACCTTTATATCTTCTACCATTTCTACTGGAATACCCTCTGCTGTTTGTCATGGTTTTAAACAAGAAAAAGGTATTCTTGGTTCCCTTCTTTGAACCATCTAATCCTTGAGTTTTGTTCATAAAAGATCTCCTCATCCCTTGCTGCTTCTTTTTAGACTTTAGAGTTAAGAAACACAGATACTTCATTGAGATTGATGTACCCGTATCAGATACTATATATATGATACTCGTTGGATACTCGATGATACGTATCGGATACACTTTCTACGTATCCGATAATAATTAAATATTAACATACTTCACAGATACTTTTATAGTCGAGTAACATATATAATTTTTTAGTTGAACTTTTAACATCTCTTTTCAAATTCACATACCATATAATACATAACAAAAAATTTATATTACTTCAAAGACACATGAGTGTTTTTTAAGTATTATCTACAATTATATGTCAAAAGAGTATAAAATAAAACTATTACATTATAACCTTAGCAAAAATTACTTCTAAATACTAGATAAATATTAGCTTGATTCTTTTAATTAGTCACTTCACTTTGTAAATATACCACAGCGACACGATATATATTTTCTTGAAACTAAAAAGAATTACTAATTTTTTTTATTATATGTTAAAAAATTACCAAAATGTATAAGTATTAAGTTGGTTAAAAATAATAAAAATATTAAATATATTTTATTATAGACGTATCTTGGTCATACCTTTATCCTATTTTTTTAGATTTTGTCATATTACCGTATCCGTATCGTATCGTACTCGTATTCCGTAAATGTTATATCCAAGATCCAACGGGGTAATAAGTTGAATCTAAAGAAGATTAGAAATCCCAACAAGACTAATGAAAGATAAATAAGTCTGCTCATCAAAATTGTTAAACATGACTAACTAAAATCTTCGGATTGACTTTCGTGTTATTTGACAACTGTGATGTTAGACTAGCCAAATATTTGAATCAAAGTAGTGGCTCAAAGTAATGTGTGAACTCTTTGGGCCCCGGGATCAATTATACTTTGATTGGGTATTTGAATTTTGTCACATCATTTGGGCTATATATGTGATCTAAATATTTGTTTAATTTAGAATTTCTGATTTGTCAAAGTTGGGGAATGATTTGGCTTTTCGCATAACTCAGGGTCTGTCAGTGTAATTTATCATAAACTTTTAACGTCTTATGATTAAAATAAAATCACGTAACTTTCATGTGATCTTAAACTAATGAACAATTAACACTGTTTTAACTGTAACACAAAAAAGGCA